TATGGAAGAAAGAGAAAAAACGGTATGTAGAGAAATAGAGGTGGTCAAGCTTCGTAGTACTATGACTTTCATGAATGGAGAGTCTCCCAAACGTCTTCCACAAAGTTTATCCAGGTTAAAGGAATGCTCGATGTCGTGAGCTATTAGAAACTCAAGCTTCATTGTTCCTCAACTCTAACGCATCAGTTCTCAAGGCCACAGAAAGGCCGACGTATATTTTGTTATCTTATTCTACACGTGAGACAGCAAATAGAGTTGGAAATCAGTGGACATGTGAAATGTTCTTTTGCTCTTACGCTAAAATAAAAATTGTAGACTTAAACTTATTCTGGCACTTTGAAATCTATTAAGCTGTCGACTTCTCCAGCTCTCTATCTCGCTCTCTCTCATTCCATAAAAAGTTACTTTTTCACACGCACCCGGTCCTGTTGCTACTTGTATATAAGTACGCAATCCTTCTTTACTCAATGCATTGAATGGAAGACCATCTTTCAACACTGCATACACTCCTAGTTGATGAAGATTCTGTTTACGATGTGGTTCAAAATTCGATTTTGTTTTATTGTCGTTTTCAGTTTTTACTTCAGTCTTTTTGTGCACTTCTAGCAAATGGCGACGAAGGGTAGAGGTTGACCAATTTGGCGTTTGTATGATTTTATTACACAAAGAGCATTGTGCTTGTTTATTATTCAGACGTGTAGCATATTGCCAAACACTGGATGCTTCTCTAGATTGGTAATTGTTGCAATTACTATTCGTATTATAAATGTCACTATCTGAATCTGAGTTATTGTCTTGCACAGATGGTTCTGGAGAAGTAGCAGTGTTTGTTGTTGGTGGTGCGGATAGTGGATTACGACTTGATTTTGTTTTCTTTTTGTCAGTTGCATTTTTCAATCGTTTTGTTTTTCTTGTTGTTGTTTTCTTCGATCGATTTGCTGTTTGTTGGATTAATTGTGCTGAGGGATCATTATCGAAATCGACTGATTCCTCTTCTGATGTTGCCAAAACAGGACGAACGACAGTTTTTACGGAAGAAGTTAATGATGATGTTGTTATTGTTTGGTCATTATTGTTGTTTTGAGGTGGTGGATTTGAATTATCATTTGAATTATTATTTATAATTGTTTCATTCGTATTAGAAGATGAAAGTGATGGATCGATGACGATGGCTTCGGCAGGTGTAGAAATAGGTGAAGGCTGACGATTACGAACAGAGTTTTTCCTTTTTTTCGTAGTTGTTGACGATAGTGATTTCGTAGTGGATTTTGGTTTACGAGAAGAACGAGTTTCCTTTGACATTGTAGGGCTTAAAAATCTGAAACAGAAAGAAAAAACAAAATTCGAAATTTTTTGAAAAGTTCGTCAGCATGACCCCAGATAAGAAGCAAAATGAAAATCGAAGACCTAAAACTAGAAAAAAAGAAAAGTAAAAATTATTCATCGTCCTAAAAAATAGGACAAACCGGTCAAGACATCGAAGTTAGGATTAAACAACATGACGAAAACATTCGAAAAGCGGATATTCAGTCGTCAACCATTGTAGAAGATGCTCTGACAAAGAATCATAGATTTAATTTTGAAGAACCAAGTATTTTAGCTTATGATTCGAATGAACGAAAACGTGAAATTAAAGAAACACTTATCACACAAAAATTTG